CCGGATTTATGAACATACACAAAAAACGAAAAATGACTAGGACTGAAAACCGCCCATTGGCAACAATCTTGGCAAAGTAATTAGGCAATGCATTAAAGGAAAATAATAAAACTCTCGGCAGCAAACTCTTACCAGTCTTGCATATGAAGACAATTCGCCTGCCGCCCTCGGCCAGCGGTTTGTAGGTTTCGGGTAAGTGATGCTTAATGACAATGACGGCGATGAAAGTCTTGCCCAGGCCTGTATTCAGCTTAATGATGACGCTCTCGTGTTTGGCTATCTCAGCCATTTCCACCTGGTAGGGCCGAGCAGAGAGTTTTTCTTGTTTCGTCGGCTGCAGAGAGGCTCGTGCAGATTTCATATTCTAGAGAGGATTAGGAGCAACTAGAAGTGTACCGTTTTTTTTTTTCTGGGGGGTGGGGGGGACGCTAACATTAAGTACAATAAAGTAAACTTCAATACGGTATTAGACGCATGTGGTTACGCCACAGCAACGTCCGGGAGGCTAATTTATGTAGATCGACCGTCGATTCCGAAGCTTTGAAGCGCTTGTTCCCCGGTATAAATTTAAAACAAGCGCAGACAGCAGGATTTATTGAATTCAATAGGTTTCGCGACAACTTCTCAACTGCATGCTGTCGATGCACGAGTTTTATAACGAATAGTACATAAAGCAGTTTGAATCTTCACAGAATGACATGGCATAACCGCAGGGATCATAGTTTATTGTAAATAATGATCAGATGAAGGACACTGCGTTAAATCAGCGTATAGAAAGGAAAGAGAGGAGAGAAGTTAACGAAAATTACGTGGGGATTGAAACTAAGTGTCCAATCACCAGGGTAATTGGAGGTTGATCACATGGTCAAGCTGCTTGTATAGGGTGGGTTCCTCCCGCCGTATGTAGGCCGCTTCAAAGTAACGCAAGATTCGAATTGTTCGGGCCCGAACAAGCACTCGAAATGCTGTTTTGACGTCAACAGAACGACCACTGTCTAGCAGATGTTTAGTAATTGAAGACCATGGTACTCTATCTTCTTGCCTGAAAAGCCAGTTAGGCAAGTGCTCAGCGGCCCTGGCTGTCAGTTGCCTTTGCGTACGCCCAACGTACTTGCATCCACAAGTGCACGTCAATTCATACACACAATTTGAGGTGGCATGCA